ACACACACACACACACACACACACACACACACACACACACACACACAGTGTGTCATAAACTGAAAATATTATATGAGGGATCAGCAGGTCAACTGTGGCAGCAGACTCACAGCGTCCAGACTAGTCTGTTGGCATGGAAACGAGAAGGTGAAGCCCAGAGGAAGACGAGCGTTCTTCATTCCCATGTAGTCCAGGAAGTCACTGATACAGTGCACAATGTGATCAAACAACTGAAAGAAAAGGAAGAGCAGGAAATTAAATAAACGACAAGTTTTCAAACACTTTCAGTGTAGGCCTCCAAAGTGTTCATTAGGTTGTAAATATACTCTCTTATAGGCTTAACAAAGTCATAATGTTATATAAAAAACTACCGTATTTTTCGGCCTAAAAGACACATTTTGTTACATAATTTGTATGCCCTGCGACTTATACGTCAAAGCAACGTATTCATGGATTTTTTCCATATTTACAAACCAATTTTTGGCTGAGATATGACCGTTGTCATTCATTCAGACTGAAAATATTGAACATTAACATTTTCAGCCGCTAGATGGCACCCGAGTTGCATGGCATGCTACTGTGTTATGTAATAGGTTAAAGTGGCTATTAATGACACACTCAGCTTGCCAAAGACTGCCACTTTCGTCCAGCTCGCCCGGAACAAAATCAGCTTCATTTTGCTGCGCCGCCCCAGAGAAATGCAGCTAATTTGACCATTGAAGTGCATTTATTATGTAAAAGTTCAACTGAGACACACCTTTACTTTAAAGTTGAGCAAACAAATAATTGTTTTAGGTCCTTATCTTGTTAAATTTCGAAGAAATGCGCAGCGTTCCACTTTCCTGACTTCCTCCCTCAGAGCGCTCCCGGAGCACCGAGGCAGCAAAGACTTTTGAAAATGCAGCTGATTTGACCGTTGAAGTGCATTTATTAAGGAAAAGTTAGACTGAGACATAATCTCGAGCAAACAAATAATTGATTTTAAGTGTTAATCTTGTTAAACTTTTGTGAAGTCCTCCTGTGCATGCTTCCGCGGCTGCCATTTGGCAGCCAATCGATTTTTGGCACAACACCAGCCCACATTTCTGGACTGTCAGCAGTGACACCTAACAAACGTGACGCGTCCGCAGTGATGCATAATAGATGCAACGTATTTATGGATATTTCCACTTTATTAGACATATTTGGACTGATGCGACGTCTACAGTGGAAAATACAATAAATAAGATTTCTTGTATTATGTCAGTGATACATTTGAGGGAACATTTATGACACTAGGTGCTACCAAACTTGTCTAGAAGATGTGTTTATTTTATGAGATTCACTACTAATGTGTTTCCAAAAATAACTAAATCTTAGCTAATAAGAGAATAATGAAACACTTGAAACGGTTGTGAGAAGAGGCTGAAACAGTTACAGCTAGTCAAAGTTTCCTGTTTTTTGTTCTGTGTGGAGGTGAATAGGTTCAGAAGAAAAACTGGATTAGCTTCAACCGGTGTTCAACATGTATATTCCAATCCAAGCATTAAAATCTGTTAACTCAATGTTAATCCCAACCAGTCACCCACTCTGTGTGTCCTCCTCCAACCTAACAACCTTCCTCTTAGCTTTCATCTTCATCTCATCATCAGCAGTGATCACATGTCAAGCTCCAACCACACCATCCTAATCCTTATTGCACAATCTGTTAACCTGGAGTTGTCTTTCATTTTAATGACATACATACTTTCACAAATTTATTTACACATCTCACCTCTTCTCCTGTGCCCTGCATCACTTCCAGAGGAATAGCGTAAATCTTGTTTTGCATCTCTACTGATCTCCTTTTGCCAGAGCGAATCTTCACCAACAGAACCCTGAAGTTGGTTCCTCCTAAGTCCAAAGCCAGGAAATCCCCATTCTCTGCACATACAAAACAAATGTACAAGGCTGACCAAAACCTCCACATTTCATAAAAATAACTTGTATAGAAACAGACAAAAATCAACACAACAGCTTATAAACATGTCTTTAGTATTCACAAGATGCAAATAAGTTCTAATATTTTTTTTTACTTGGGATTATTAACATAAATATCAGATTTTAAGGCCCTGTTTACAAGAAAATGATTTCTGGTGAAAATGGAAGCGTTTTGTTGCGTTTGAACTGTCCATTTACACGAAAATAGCAAAAGTTTTCTCTAACAACGGCACAATTTGAGAACAGATTCCAGAGTGCAATGGTTCACAAACGTCCCGGTGTCCATTGTTATGTAAACAGAAAAAATAGATATTTTCTGTCAGGGAATCCCTGGCTCATGCGCATTATGATGCAAAACATAACGGCTTCCTACACAGAAGAAGAAACTATCCACAAGAGCATTGTTTGCGCTTCGTCTCTTGTAAATCAAAGCACGGCTCTCCAACACAGTGCTCATTTACTACCTCTTTACTAAAAAAAAAAAAACTACCTCTTTACTTAAATCACTGAAGACGGATCTCATGCAGCTCCACTCTGTTACTTAATGGATGTAACGGTTTTACAATTCAAAGTCACGCTAAGCAACAGTTAAATCTCGTCGTCTGCCCATAGAAATACTTTATTCTCTGCCATCTTGACCGTTGTAGCGGCTTTCAGGTAGAACTTTTTTTATGCATACGCAGTTAAAAGTTTTAAAGAACATAGCACCAACTAGTGGCGTGGCCAGGGAATTACAACTTTTCCACGTCTACCATTGCTGTGTAAACAGAGGTTGTAATAGAATGTTTTCATGTAAATGTGTTAATAGAAATGGGAAAATTGTTTTTTTTCATTGGATGGTTGTCGAGTAAACAAGGCCTTAAGAGACTGTTATTGTTACAAAGTGAGGTGAGATGGTTCAAATCAATGATCATCTGCTGTGTTCCAGATGCTAACAGTCTTAGCCATTCTCTCTTGCTGTCTCAAAGTGCAAGACTTCACTATGTTAAGCTTCTGAATGTGTTGTACCTGTGCCATCAGGTGTGCTTCGTACAAATGTTGGCAGCATTTTGACAGTGGCAGAGTCATGGGTGTTCTTTGAGAGGCCCTTTTCCATCTCCATCGTCATTCTTTTCTTTACCTGAAATTACAAAGGTTTTCATTTTTACAGTTATCTAAACACCAGTACCTGCACTTACGGAGAGAACACAAACATCCGGCATCGCCTGCTCCTCACCTCCAGCAGCTGCTCTTCCGTCAGGTCAAACTCAGACAGAATCTGGGCGATTTGATGGGACTGTTCGGCGAGTCTGTACGCCACGGCTGTTACCATGGCAGCACCTTTCCCGCTGCCGCTCTCTGAGAGGAGGAATCGAACGTCACAGTCCGGAACCAAGCGTCGGACGGTCTTATGAAGACGGCGAGCATATCTTGAATCATAAAAATAAAGGTTTAAGTGCTCAAATACAAACATTTTACAGATAAATATCTCTACATAGGCAATTTAAGATGCATGTAGAAAGGATGGTAATGTGATGTGTTATAAAGTTAACATACATGAACAATTGAACAGAGACACAAGTGACTTTTTAATCACAATACTCACTGTGGGTGCATCTTGTACAGCGAGCCATCGATGCCCACGGTGGTCCGGAGTCGCGTCACTCCTTTATTCTCCTTCAGCCTCATTAGGATGCCGGCCAAGACAGCAGCTACCAGGCTGGCAGAGCGGAAAGAGACGATGGCAGAAACCTGAACAATTAGAAGGGGAGAAAATATGGAGAGAAATTAATTAAACTGCACAATATTCAAACTTTACTTAAAAAAAATAAAAATAAAAGTCGGTCAGAAATAAATAACGTTGTGTGTGTGTGTGTGTGTGTTTATTATAGTAATGCAATTCTTTATCTCTTACCTATGAATTAAAACCAAAAAACAACAAACATCTTAAGACAAAAAGTGTAGAATTTCATGCACATCAGTTTGACACATCCAGAGCAACTTCCGTTAATAATAAATAAACAGTTTTTTCAGGTGGAACTTAAACTAATAAAACATTTCCAGTGATGTTTTTGTAGAGATGCCTACATGCTGCACAGCAATGCAGTCCTCTGCTGAGGGCTCCACGCCGAGTTTGGTTAAAATCTCTTTTGCCTTTGTTAAGCCCTCTTTACTCCTAAACAAAAAGAGTGCACAGACAGGCACGTGGTAAATCATTTTGGTTTTCATGCCGTTAAAATATAAGAAGTGGTCTCTGCCTTCTTCAGTGCTGGGCTGTGACTTACTTCTCTATGGCTGAGAGATGCTTGGTCTCAAATTTGCCCTTGGTGAGAAGCTCGGGGGTGATTCTTCCTTCAAAGAGCAGACCTTCTCTTGCCATCTTCACCAGAATGAGACGAACCAGCTCTCCCATGTACATCCCACTGACCATCTTCTCAAACCTACACAAGAAATGGGACGCCAGGAAGATAAACACCCCAAAGAAATGTGTCATTCCCTTGGAAAACAGAAATAGGCTATAACTCAGTCAGCATTACAAGTACAGTAGTCCCTCGCTACTTCACGGTTCGTTTATCGCGGACTCACTCTATCGCGGTTTTTCAAAATAAGATTTGACATGACACACAACTGGCTGATGGATGAATGAGCCGCATGATTGGCATGGAATTTTTAATTTAAAACAAATTATTTTAAAATATTTGGCACCTCCTGCACCTTTGTGTAGCCCACAGCTGCAGGATAAACTTTCTGCTGCAGCTGATCAGCTGATCAGCTGTTCACTGCGCAGAACGGAGAAGTGGGCGTGGCCAAGAGCACTTGCAGGTGGCAATGAGCAGAGGAGGCAGGGAGAAGAAATCATGACATTCTGTGCTCTTTTAGAGCGTTTAGAGTTTAGAAACATTTGTTTATAATATTGCAAGAGTGTGGGAAGGATTTAAAACACCCTTATATATAT